ACCCCCGCCCCGCCGGGACCGGGCGGGCCCCCCCCCCGCCCCCCGGGGTGCCGGGAGGCGGCTCCCCGCAGCCCTGCGGCGAGGGGAAACCGCTCCCGGAGAGAGCCGTCTCGCAGGCGGAGCGAAAGCGCAGCTCCAGCGCTCCTAGTTTGCAGCATCCCTGCCACTAAATTCACGGCGAAACCCTCCCCGACCTTCTTTTTTTTTTTTTTTTTTTCCCTCACTTAGGAGAAAGTCAGCTGGTAGAGCTGATATGCTGATATTTGAATACGTCTACTGTGATCTAGTGGTGGTGATCCTTGCTAGCACACGTCTAATTCCGAAAATAAATGGTTCTGTGATATATTAGGTTGCTAAGGAGTTTCTATTTATATGAATTTTCCACACCGTGGGTAATTCTGTGTGCCTTCATTTTTTTAATTTTACAGCTAGTACTTCCTTTCTACCTCTTGAAAACTCTTGGTCTGATCTTTCCCTTTCTCCCTCTGTCGCCTTATTTTTGTTGAACTCTAATCGTTCCTTGCAAAGATGAATGGGATGGAATGATTTTAACAAATGACACTGGGCCATATTTGGTCACATTTGCTCAGAGTGAGTCATACCTTAATCTGCAAGTACCTTTATTGATTTTAGTACCTACTATTTCTCCAGGAGCTGTCACCCATTTGGTGGTGGTTCATCACCACCTTTCATCTCCTATGGTTATAACAATGTTGTAAAATGTCCGGTCTCTTTTGAATAGCTCTTCATCCTGCAAAGTTTTGACATGGCAGTCTGTCTTTCTCCTTTTTTTCTGGGTTTCCTTTTATTTTACCTGATAGCACAAGTGTTATATTCAGTGATCTGGTGGCTGTCCGGTGTCCACGGCCGGAAAGAGATGTTGTTGGGTTCTGTGTGGTACTTGACATAGGCATGCTCTCGCTCTCAAAGTTTAATATTCTCATCACCTCTTTATTTGGATAACCACTCGATTTTTGGCATTCTTCAGTAATTCCACATTTCAAAGGATCTGATAGTTCTCACTATGTATTTTTAGTGACCAGTATTCAACAGGCATGCGTGCTGGAGGACTATGCGTAGCATTTCATCAGTCTGAGCTGGTTTGATGCCCACATTTAATTTTGTACAGCACGCAAGTTGCTTTTCCTTTTCTTTATGACACTGATATTGCCGAGCTCTCAGAAATGCCCAAAGAAAATGCAGACTGGATGGCTTTTAGAAATTCCACAGTCCTTCCTAAATATAGTGGCATATGATTGCCCTGCCATGGGCATTCTGGAAAGACGGGTGAATCCCTAGGGAAATACACCTTTTGCCCAGAGTAAAGTAAGTCTTATCATAAATCACTGCAGTAAATTGCCACCGAGCACTCTAAAATATAGCTGCTTGACTTTTTTAATCCAATGTCCAAACAGAGCAGCCATAAGACTTCAGGAGATCGAGTTCATTCCTCTGCCAACAAATAGTATTGCCAAATGCTGTAAACGGGACCTTGTATAAGAGACAATAGCTCTCTAAGCTCTTGAAAATCGATGTGTTCCTCAGACCTGGGAACCTGACATGCAGCACAAGCTAGATGATGTATGGAGAGAGGCTTTCAAAACTTCTCCCCCTGTGAGCTGGCATTAGAGTGAGAGTGCACTTTTTTTGTTTGTGAAAAATCGTTGGATAGCTGATTAGAAACTGGGGAGAGCAAAAGCAAACTTGTCTAAATGGTCTTTAAAATGGAGACAATGGCTTTAGGAGTATGAAGAACTAGGAAGAAAGAACCAAGAAACAACGGACTAGCTTCGTAATGCTCATGGCCGTTCGTGGTCCGCATGTCCAGCCAGCAATAGGGACCAGGGAATATGGGCAGATGATAACCTAAAAATGTAATACTCATATGCCTAGGAATAAGACATTGAAACAAAACTTAGCATCCCATATTTCCTCAGCAATCGGGTTTCTAGACATCTCACACCTCCTTTATGCATCTTGCCCACCACATCATTAGAGATACTAAAATGCCCTGGGAGAGAACTAATACGGGATGTCCCACAGCACCCAGGGCTCGTGGTGAGCAGTGTAGTGCACAAAACACTCCCCAGCTTCAGTGACCCCCTACACCCACATGCCAGCAAGGTGCAGTGCAGGGCAGTGATTTCTTTGATTAACTGAAAATATCTCTGAGACATACTCTTGCAAAATTATAGCCAGGAAAACATAACGACTGACATAGAGTTCATATAACAACTGCCCACCCATTTCATTATTTCACAAATGTGTGATTCGTGCTTGTGAGCTGTCACTGTTAACATTTCCATCTGTCTCAATATTGCTTCTATTCTTAGTTGCTATGTGATAGATGTAGGTGTATGAAAAGGATTTTTCCCCCCTCCCTGTGTCATGAAACAAAATAAATGGAAGCCACATATGTGTATCTGTGCACTTCCTGAGGCCACTAAGAAACACAGAAACCTCCGTGCCAGCTCCCACTACTGGAAGTAGAGGTGGAGTAAGAAAAACAGGATTGGGGCCTCTCCATGCTGCTAAAACGTGTACTCAATGGTGTAAAATCTAAATAAGTCAAAATCTAGCCACAACAGAACAATATTGCTTTGATCTCCTTTCAGACATGCAGTTTGAGAGACCTATTTTCCTAATCGTGTAAGTATGGGAGTAATTTTACTTATCACGTAATCGGTCTTTTCCTGAGGCAA